ATATAAATTAATGTTTTTAACTCTTAATTGTTAAAAAAAATCAATGTTTGCTTCTATATTTATGAGGTTCCATTCCGAAATAGGCAGGGGAACTGAAAAAGGAAAGATCTGGGTACTCATGAGAATAAAACTGGGGGGGGCACCGGGAAGTGTGTGCAGCAAAATGAACAAAGGCTCCCAACAGTTAATGCTAAAAGTTAAAKAGTTGTGAGTCTGACACTTTGAGCCAAAACTACACCAAGTTTTAGCACAATATTGGCAAAGTTCATTTAATCATAGCCCTTTTTGTGTTTGTGGCAACCATCAGTTTTAGGGGTACATYTAATAATTATCTGAAAGTTTCATCAGAATTTTTCCAGAGTTTCATATTGCTAGCAGAGACACTGACACATCATTGCTGACCTATTTGTATTGTTTGATCRTGAAGCTCAAAACAACCCAATTTGGCCTTTTTGGACTTTTTAGGGCTTCCCTTTTCACCAAGACAGGTGTTATTTATTTACCTGGCACAACTGTAGCATTGTASTTAAACACAGTTTCCCATGAGCCTCTTGGGTCATCCGTCCTGCTCTGGTTTGACTGTGGATCTCTTAATAAGATTATTTATCCTCGGGGACAGGASAGGCAGGAAGAAGAGTGAACCAAGAACAAACCTGTGGGAATATTTCATTTAAACCTAATATGACAAATCTCACTGTGAACACAGCATGAATAACTTCACTATTTGTTGGATTATTCTGGATTATTCTGCTCACTGTATGACGCACCGATGATCGCAGAGGTGAGTCCAGTAATCTGCCCGCTGCCTCACCTGTTCCCGTGTTTACATGTAATGGCTTTACGTTGCTTCTGAAGGATTTTCACCCTGACGCACAACCAAGCTGCTGCAGCTTACCCACCATGCAGGCCGATGAAGACAGTGAGGAAGGTAAAAACTATACTGAGCACAAAAAGTAAATAAATTGGTGTTTGGTTGTTTTTTTTTTCTTTGTTTTAATGCTTTTTGGCAATAACTCTTATATCAGACAGCTGATCAGCAGCAACTGGGGGCACCAGAAGCTCAGCAGATGTTTGGCAGAGTTGGCAAATTTTTCATGTTTGCAACCCACATACTCAGCTCTACTGCTCATCCCACAAATGCATGTTCCTTACAAATGTGGCAGCATTTAAAAGGGTAATTAACAGGCTTTCCAACAGTATAAGAGTTATTGCCAAGAAGCATTTACTTCTTTTTGTGCTAAGTTTAAAAACAAACTGTCAAAAAAAAGTCACATCAGCTGCTATTCTGACTCAAAAATCAATCTGGATTCATGTTTTTTTTTTGTTTATTTGTTTGTTTGTTTTTTTACAGAAACCAGTCAAGAGGAACTGTCAGTCATAAACTGGAGCGATCTGTCCATCATAGAGCGTGTGGGCCTCAACAGGTGCAGCGTGTAAAGCACTGCACAGCATTTTATACAATATATCAGTTTTATTTGGTCCTCCATTCAAATTTATAAACTTTTTTCCCTGACAGTGTGGATATGTCAGAGAAGGACTTAGAGGTAAGTTTACAGGCGTTATGATTGACTTGGTTTATTGAATATAAGTAAACTGAGTGCAGAAACCTGTCTTTGCTCCCAGCTGGCCTTCTCTCAGATCGCCCTGGCCTTTCGCTGTGATCAGTACACCCTGAAACAAAGGCTGCAGGCAGAGGAGCACGCCCGCAACCTGGCTGAGGAGAACATCCAGCTGGAGCTGACCCGAGGCAGGGAGACCCTGGAGGTATGATGTGTGACAGATCAGGGGGTTTTGTTTTTGAATAGCTGTTTTCTCATTTTAATTTTAAGCCTTAAACCTTCAGATTGGAGCTCTTTAAGGCAGTGGTTCCCAAACTTTTTATCTTCTGACCCACAAAATATCCATGGCAAAACCTTGTGACCCCAAATATTACTGGTCTGAGTACACAAACTTTGTTAATAATGCTAAAAACACAGGCTTTTTGACAATCCAAACAGCTTGTACACAAATAGAAATACTTATTTATACATGTTTTGTGTTTTTGTAATGGTTATAGGGAAAATATTACAGCAGCAATTATTTTATTACCCTTTAAATTGATTTCTGGAGATTATCCAAGGTGCTTCATGACCCATAATTGGGTCCCAAGCCCAACTTTGGGAACCAAAGGTGTGTGTTTGTGTTTGCAGACCCTGAGGGGCCTGTGTTTGGACAGTCAGCGCAGTAACATCCTACAGAGGCTGCAGTTGTCTCTGGACATCCTCGGCGGGACGGTTGAGCGCATCTCCAACACGGCTGAGGTGCTCGGTGCTGTTCATCAGGTGCATCAAGGCCTCTTTCTTKAAAGTGATTTTATTTCCTCGTATTGTTTGTTGTAAAACTGGGTTGTAATCATCCTGGCCTGAACAGGAGGCCCGGGTGAGTCGGACGGTGGAGCTCATGGTGGCTCACGTGGAGAGTCTGAGGAGGCGTCATGACAGAAATGTAGCAGAGCTGGAAGAAACCAAGAGGCTGTTGCAGCAGCAGCAGCAGCAGCAGCAGCTGACCTCCAGCAGAAACATCAGTCCTGGTACCTTCTCAGTCTTTTGTCTCATTCTTCAGCTGTTTGTGAAATATGACTCTTGCTGGGTATCTTACTGCAGATCCAGAAGACAGTGAGAAGAGGAAAGGCTCAAATCAAGTATGCGGACTTTGCTCATAATTAATCAGACCATCTTTCTGTCTAATCATTGTTTGTTTTTTTTCAGAGCACCTTACGACGAAGAATCAGCGCATCGATTATTTCAAGCCAGACTCAGGTAAAGTGGTGTCTTAGCTGAGCTCTTCTGTTTTCTTACTACATCATCTTGTTTTTTCTCCACAGGAGAAAAAAAAGCAAGACTCAAAGAAGAGGGCCTCCACCTCCTCCAAGAAGCCGTCCCCCCAGTGTGGGTCTCCATCCCCGAGCATGGACTCCAGCCGCTCCTTTGTGTCTAAAGAAGACAGCAACTCAACAGACAACAGGTCCACCACAGACTGATGCATTGGATCTTCACCATGTAGTTGTTGTTTTTAGCATCCATGTGTTTTGTTTTAGGCAGCTAGATCCAGTAGAACCACCTGAAGATCTTCCTCCAGACCCCTCTCCCCCACGCAACCCAGAGAGCCCCGCATCTCAGCAAATGACGCCAGTAAAGACACAAAACAAAAAGTATGGCGACAACTTCAGTTATGTCATTACCAGTTTTCTGAAGCCCCTCTTTTTTTAAAATAATGTATTTTCATGACATCAGGATCAAACCCCAAATAATGTCTAACTACTGAAAGCACTCACAGTACCAGGTCAGAAGTGCCGGATTTAAAGAGACAGCATCAAAACCAGTTGATCTGAGACACACATTTCAGAAAAGGGGCGGGGCTTGTGGAGTTACAATAAGAAGGAACTCAGACCAAATCATTGCWATTCCACTATTGACCCCAATTGAAGGAGTTAAATGTGAAAAAGGATTTAAAAGCACAACATGTCTCCTTTCAGGGGAAAAGAGGCTTCGGTAAATTAATAATTGCTAAAAAATGTTTGCTTTTATTTCATCTATCTTGTGCACACTTTGACATATTCTAATTGTAAGACTTTTTGACTTTATAACAGCCCCCCTGTGAATGCCCCGCGACAGAGACACAAGGGCAAAGCAGCTTCTACAGTTAAAAGAAAGGAAAAAACGGTGGCAAATATCCACAGACAAAACTATGCTGGCATGTAAGTAAACGTATATATATATTTTTATCTGTAGTCAAATTTATGTTCTATTTTGTTTGTTTTCTGGACACTTACCGGTGGTCTCGTTAAGGTGTGGATCAACGTGTAAGCAGCAGCAACCCCTGACTCTCAGGTCGCACCGCTGTCGATCGGCACGTGTCTGCACCAACCTGTTCATGCTTTTCTGTGCCGTAACGCTGACTTATTACGTGTGGAAACTTTATGAAGGGGAGCTGGAGCCCTGATTGGTTCTTCTGGAAAATACTGCCATCTGAGTGCTTAAATTTGTCTTTGTGTAAAAAAAATAAAACAATTTTTTCACGAAACACGTTAAATTCTTGAAGTACTTATATATCTTTAAGTTAAAGATTTAGGTTGAAGAATTTAACCTCAAGGAAAAAAAAAGCAACAAATGCGGCCATATTTTTTTTAATTATAAATACACAAAAATATTAAATATCATACAATCAAGTGGTTAGTAAGAAAGCATCATAATGCAGTGAAAACAGGAAAGGAGCAGAGGACAAAAATCGAAGTTAAACATAAACAATAATAAACGTTCAATAAAGTATAAGTCTATGTTGTAAGAGAGAAAATTAAATTAAATATAGTTAATAATTATATTKAAAAATTAGGAAATCTATATGACAACTACTGCAGATGTTTGTGTGCAAAATGTGTGCCAGCCACAGAAAACTCTTGAAATAAATGTATGGTCTGAAACATTCATGAGACCACATAAACCTCATCTCACTGACACACACCTAACTCAAATAAATAAAACTGGCATACCACCTTACATTCATTTATAAATTAATTACCAATCTGGTACAGATAGGTCTAYGTTTTTCCCGCATCACGTCAACAGTCTCACAGAGAGTCCAGAGTCTTAATAAATACAGAGATAAATAAACAACAAACATGTTGAGGAGGCGCTTGTTACACCTGGCTCACGATTTCAGCCTCCTCAGCCACAAACCACTGGACTGGAGTCCCGTCTGCAGATCTTTGGAGAATCACGTTTCCTGAACCCTGTAAAAAACAAACAAACCACGGCATCACATCTGTGTTCATCTGGGACATACAGTATGTGCACATTATACAGTACAGATACAAATAGAAACAATTTTAGGCCTTTTTAAGCAGAAACGGCTCACATGATTTACGTTTTAGTGTTTAATTAAACAGTTCTGTACGTTTGAACATCTTTTGATGGATGTTGTTAGCAAGTTTATATAAAAATGAAATTGTGAAATTATTATATACAGTATGTACATGTGTGTATGTATGCATATATGTATGTGTATGTATGTATATATGTGCATGTGTATGTATGTATGTATGATATATT